GAGCCTAATCATGCTGCTACTCTACTAAATTAACAATGATCCATTCAAGGGATAAACTTCTGAACCTTTTCCGTCAACACTTGATTTCCAATGCATTGTGGGATCAGTTTCTAGAGAAAGCAAAAGAAAACCGCCATGTTCTGTTCCAAACATATCCTAAAAATGCATTGAGCTCCATAGATCTGACAAGAATGGTGTAACGTATACCATATCATACCTACAACATGTGGCACCTCGTGGAAAAGCACTGCTAAAGATGTACTTAATCCATCAGATTCAGACTTAGAGAAAGCTCCACCGATAGCCATACCATCGTTGAAACAATGAATAACATCTCCAACTAATATCATTACAATAAGAGTGTTACTTTTCGTGGTACTTTTTGTAATTTCACTGCTAAAAGACTGATTTAGGGAGCTTTCACTATGGTCAGCAAGTTCATCTACTGGACTCACAGCTGTCGACGAATCAAGATGTGAATGGCCACCCTGTGGTTACAAGAAACAAGTATTCAGTTGCGATTTCTTAAAGAGAGTTAAATAATTATAAATGCGTTCTATAGCATGCGCACTAACCCAATAATGAATCTCTTAACCAGATGTTAAATTATTAAATTATTCCAAATTGCTAGAAGTCATTTTTGAATCTTCTTAGTCTCGTTTGTATGCTGTATGTGATGACAAATGCTAATATCCAAAAATCAATTATAGTGACATTTTTTCGGCAACAACGACGACAAATTTTCCGTTCATACTATCAAGGAAATTTGAAAGCATTGCACAATCTGGAAAAGTTCCTGAAGTTAATTGATTATTTATATCTCAATCTCTCTAGCAGGACAGCACTGAACTATATTCAAAACAATTCTTGTAAAAAACAAAAACAAAACCAAGGTGTCTAGAGCGGAGCTATAGAGAAAACCGGACGGCATACAAAAACTCAAATCACAAAGAATGAATATGATCCAAAGATGCATAACCAATACTYACGCCGAATGAATGTGTCAGCAGGTGAAACAAGTAAAAAACATATATACTGCAGATAATCACCATTGATCTCCATAGTATTAYTGCATCTGAATGAGGCTCGGGATGGATGTGGTAATGATAAATGAACATACTGGGATTTAGAGCCTGTAAAAAGGGCAATACGTTATATTAARTATATATTGTCGTCTGGTTAGATTAAACACCGCACCACACCCTCAAGATGTTTTAATAGTGGAAGATGCCTCATTCACTGGCTAGGAGTCTAGTTAGTATGGCAATGGATGGAAGATGATTCACTCACTGACCAGAAAGAAGCTGTTGTTGACTGTTCTCAGTGTAGGAGAAGATGTTTATTGACGCACTGGGGGACACGTTTAACAGCAAAATGTTCAGCTTTAACTAACTCGATGATTGCAAAAGGCTAACCTATACTTAGCTATTGAAAGGATTTGCTTTGGATTCACTTTTCTATCTATATGATACAATATCCAGAAATGCCATTGTTTCCAAGATTGCATACGCATTGCAAACGATCATTTAAAGTGATTAGTACTTACATGGGGCATCAGATGAAATATAGAATCTCCTGCTAGGCAACCAGCACCAAGAGCAACAAGGAATGCAATCACAAGATGACGTATATTTCTTTGCAGAACAGGGCAAATAAACACAGCAATTATCAAAGACAACGCAATGATCACTGTCGTAGACAGACAAGAATACAGGATAGCTAAAAGAGATAAWGGATTCAAAAATTGAAGGAACTATTTGCATACATTGAATTATATATTTATATAGTAGTAACACGATTTCAAAGTTTAAATTTCAATCAACTTGTAGTCATCAGTTTAAAAAGTATGAGGATGTCTGGAACTAGGTATTTGTGACGYAAAATATCTGTGTCTTTTAATTATATTGTGAAAGTCTTTTCGGATGTGAATTTCCTCATACCAGCGACCCGATAGTGAGAATTTACCAAATAGCTAAGATACGATGCAATGAAATTAAGCATTTACAAAAAGAAATATAGCTCACGTTCAATGACCTTCATGGCAACCTTCAATGAAGCAAATAATGTCACTATTAAAGCTAACCATAAAGTAACTGGATCCTGGTTCAGTTGTTTTGTTTAAATCTAAATTTTAAACCAAACATCATTCGAATCGAACATAGTTCTTACCTTTCCTGTGTGACAAGTGGTGGTATTCCTGATTTTCCTCTGTAGTGTCATTCATAAAAGTGAAGATATTTTTAATTCCATAGGTATCCATGATCATAGGTTATCAGTCAGRTAGAAACCGTAAGCAAAAACTGATTCAATAGAACTTCAAATGTGTGCAAAGATATTCCAGGGATCTCTTTGTGTTTTTTTTTTGACATGTTCATTTGGTGTCTATCGCCTCCATGCTATGTCACCTGCTAGCAGGTCACTCTAACATTACTATCAACAGGTTGACAGATYGTCTAAAGATCTTTTGAAGCTGTAGGTCAAGAAACTACTGGTTRCAAGGGACTTAAATTGATAAACGGTTCCATTTATTTTAATCTAATAATCAGTAATTTGAACAAYGTGTCAAAAACATTATTCGTATTCATCATGTTTATTCTTGACGGTTGTTGAGTTTGTTTTCTGTCAATGGCACGCATGCGCGAGTAAACTTCAAAACACTAGGCTAGTGTTTTCAAGTTTATGATTCCAAGTTGGCGCGACATAAATCAGCTCGTAAACATAAACAGATCTAGAATATTCCAAAGTGTGTCAAAAGCACCACAAAATGATTTACCTCGAAGGTAATACTTTCAAAGTCCGTTAGAGGTGAGACTGTTACTGCGCATGTCATCCATTGACAGTGTCCCTTTAACATGACATTCAGTAGAAAACAGCAATAAACTCAADTAATAACTTCAAATAATAACTTCAAATGGATACTTTATACTTTTGAAGGTGTCATTTTATTTATGTCTGCTGTCCGTTAAAAGAATCTTGCCTCCATTTTTTGACATGTTTATGCACACATAAATCATCAATGTATGYTAGCCCTGTTGCAGCAAAATATAYAAATTTGCCATGTTTTTATTGCAAACGATTGAAGTCTTACATGACTTGTACGTACTCCTTTGTTGATTTAGGTTATCAAAGTTCTTTACGTTGCATGTACTTTCATACCGCACGGTTTATTTAGCACCTTGAAGTGAAAACACACATTCATTCCTAGCATTGTGCATTCTTCATTCAACAACGCCAGAAGTCTTCTGCGCTGTTCCCTATGCCATCTTTGAAAGCAAGTCGTACCTTTGCATTTGCGCAAAAACAACTAGTGACATTATAATGCTACTGTCTGTAATACTTGTCTATAGGTGTGAACGAAGCTTTCTCTGCCCTGGCCGTCTCATTTTGTTTTWAAGGCACGGCTACCTTTCAAGATGGCGTAAACAGTGAATACTTTCGAACTTTGAATATATAAGATGTTGGAGCTCAAAAGGGGTCTTACTTCAAAATCTCTACCCTTAGACTGCATGTAAACCGTTGCATCATAAATCAGCCCTTATCAGCCCTTAGCACCCCTTTTGAGTTCGCACACCTTATATAGATGTAAATAGAGACGTTATGAATGACATTTGAAGAATTTTGTCATTATTCAGTGTATAAAAATGTGCTAATGTGCTATCCATGACTATTARAATGCTTTCATTCAATTCATGGGCATAGACCATGATATTCTAGTTCGCACAACACAGAACACCAAACATTTACCTTTGATGTTTAACACCAGGGTGTATGATCAATCSTATTGTGCACAGGATTCATTGTGATCCAGCTTATGTCGTAATGTTTGTACAAGATTTTGATAACGACCCGTTTTCGATGAAAATATAGGTCGCATAAAAGAAAACGAGGAGTTCCAGCGTTCTAAAAAAAGCTTAGTGTCCCAAGTGGCCCTCTCCTCTCCAGAGATATTTCCCAAATCTTCACCGAGCAGAATCGTATTCTTTTCCTTTAGTTCTAGCATAGCAATGATTGTAGAAACAGCAATGTCCATRAACACCCGATAATCAGCAAAGATCCGCGACATTTTCTCAAATTCATTTGCATATTTGGAGGGTATATAAAAAATATTTGCATCACTTCGGTAACAAAGGTATCTGCCACGACCGTTCCACAAAAGAGCGTTTAAAGAATTTTCAATTTCCCAAGTTGACTTGGAATTAATATCGTTGATATTTTTCGACATTCTTTTATTCAATGAATTCAGGAATATAGTTCGTTTATATGCCTTTTCGCATGCTTTTAATCCCCAAGGAGTGTACCACCAAATCCAAGGATCACGTGACTGCTCAAACATTGCCTGGCCACTCAGCGTAGGTGTCTGCCATATTCGGTTCAAATCCAGCTCTGAAAGCCGCCAAACATTCACAAGGATATCGCTTTTGATAAACAAGTAACCTTTATAACTAGGGTACGATTGAATAGCGCCCGCAACACAGCTGTAAGCGGTTATTCCACGCAAAAGATTCAAAACCAGAATTTTTGATTTACTGCTGATCTCAAGTGTTTTTGATCCGCAAAATAGAATATTGGGAAATCGATCGCTGTATAGATTATCTATAGCTGCTATTTTCTCTAAGGAAATGTCCACGTAACTGACGATGAGTAAAACATTTTTCATTGCTTTGTTGTGACATACTTTTGTGTTGTTCTTGTCGACTTCAAAAGAGGCACTAAGCCTAAAATGCCAGCTTGAGATAGCGTTCAATGGTTTGTCCATATAGCCTGTTAATAATAATAGTTATTAATACAATGATTGTAGTTCTTGGGGTTGATTATCAAGTTATCAATATCAGTTTTAAAGAGGCACTTGGACCAAAGTCAATTCAAAATTGAAAATGGTTTTACACTTGCTAAAACTAGTTTATATTAAATTTATATTAAACAATAATTTGCTTATATCAAAATACGATAAATAAAAATGGCTAAGTATATTTTAAACTTTTTTATACTGAATTTGTTAGGCATGACGTCTTGATTATAACTCAATTTTCTTTGGGAATTTCTATAGTTGAGCTTAAAATGAAATTCATTAAAGATACAGTATAACCCTGAATGCTTTGCGACAGGAAATGCAAAGCTTGTTTATGATAAGTCGGTTTAGCCTTACAAACTTGAGATTATGAGCAGTAGTTTTTATTTCTTGCTTGCTTGATTGAAAGCTCAGCTGAGTTTATAAAAACTATTTTAAACGGTCAATCAATAACCTGAAATACACTGCAAAATATATTTTTTTTCGTAACATGAAAATTATAAGAGGCACGCTAAGCAYCCTGGGTGATACGTGGACTTTTCATCCTCTATATGTTTATAGTCATTTCCACGTATGAATTATGATTTCTCTAATTATTTCATTATCTGCCAAACTTATAGGAAAACATTTAGCAAAAGAACATAAAAATAACTTTTCGACTAGTTTAGGAGGCAATGCATTTTGGGCCATGYTATAGTCCATATAGTTTGGTCGATAGAAAAAAAGACTCGGAAGCCCATCAGTTGTAAGGGTCTGAGAAGAATATTTGAAAGTTAGAGTTCTCTTATAAAATCACCAGCACATATTCAGTTATTACAATAGGCTTTTTGTTTGTTATGCGTTTGCTGTTCAGGTTTTGTTTTATTTCTTGTAAGTTTATGTCTTGTAGTTGCTGTGTTTTGGTTTTGTTTTGTTGAAAAATATTTGAAGCGAATTAAGCACTTGAATCAACTCTTGACTTTCAGTGAATCGAAGACCGCGGATTACTCCGATGTTATAATTTCTTATTAAAAAAAAATTGAATAACTATATATTCCGAAATATTTCATCCAATCTCTATGATTTCAGTTATTCTTTGACTTCATGTTTCAGGAAATCGTTATTAATAATTCCTTTTAAGTTGAACGCAGCTTAAATGAACAATCTGATACCTTGTGAAATGATGACAATAATAGAGAATCCAGCTGTAGCTACCAAGAGGAGAAAACCAAAGCGAAGATAMTGTCTTTGCGTAACCATAACAAAGCAGTTGCTCTAATTTCGCCATTATCCCTTCTTCTTCACACGTGGTTCAAAAAAAGTCATCCAAATAACTGAGATCATTTTAAGATCAAAGTGACATCATTTACTGTGTTTTCCARTGGAAAGTGGAATTCGAGAACACCGAAAATATTAGATAATGCTTAATTTTAGAGAAAACCTTTGTTTTTCGTTTTGAAGATCAATATTACAATCAATGTGCGCGTGCGTTGACGTCTACGGGTGGTTTGTGTGTTGATGCTGCGCTGCAGGTAAAATGCTTGCTCTCTGGGGATGGTGAAAGTCAAGGATGTTAAATGGTTTCAAACAGCGCTCGCACAATGTGAGAAATCATTTTTACAAGTCAGTTGAGAACAAATGTTATCAGAAGCGTATAATGTGACAGTTTTAATGCTGCAATGGTAGTTTCCAGTTAATACAAGCAGTAAAGAAGTGCTATCGGTATTGAAGCTTGCAAACCGTATGCTATTGAAGATTTAAAATAAAAATAGAAGATCTCCCTTATGCCGTGTATTATCGYGTGCAAACCGTTCAAAAGCGAGAGTACAATAAAAAAAGATTTAAATGTATCTAAGGTGACTTTCTTTTTGCTGGTAGGAGCCTGCTACTCACTAGGGGTAGTGTAATTCAAGGTTTTAGCTTTGTTTAGTAGAWCATTTGCAGAATGTTGAGTTGAAAATACGCCGACGTGCMCCTTCCATGCTGGAAAAACGTTTCAAAGAGAAACTGTTCATTCATTTTCGACATCCAGTTTATCTCACTGTACTTTTTGCACTGTCATTCAATGCAACTTGCATTAGAATCAGGAAAGAACGGGGAGTCGAGTATCATTAATTCACACACCACAAAACATTGTTGAAGGKTGTGACGTGCTACYCTTAAAAATGTCAAATCTTCAGAAGACTTATGACGAATTATTACAAAAAAWTTAAAAGGTGTAAAGATATTCTGAAGTTAAATTTGTTTGCAATTACTTTACATGCTCCCGTGTAAAATACCAGCAATAAGCTGTCATGTGACTTGTTAACAGATTAACTGATATCGACACAGCCCTTGAACATTTAGATTGAAAGGCAAAGAATGATATGATATTCGATCAGGATTATGCCATCAGCTTTAAATARAAAGCAAGGGGATGAGGACCATAATAATGAATGCTGTTTTTTGTTTTTTTATATTATTTTTATTCTGTTTTTGTCTTCTGTTTGTTTGTTTTTGTGTGTTTGTGCGCGTGTGTCTTTTGTGATAGAAGTGTTCCGTGGTTTTCTGTAGACGTCCTTTCCCATGGTAATGTGCATTCTAATTCCCAATCAACCTCTATAGAGAAACAGCCTTTAAATGTACGGYCATGAAACCATCGAAGCTTCTGCCGCTTGATTATATTGCATTTATGATTTTCTTTGTATTAATGATATTCGTACTATGCTAGGTCAACGTTATGATGGATTCGAAGAAACTAGATCCCGATGTAAAAAATGACAAAGAAAAGTAAAGGGCAAAAAAATCTTGCGATTGTGCAGCTTATTTTCTTTTATTTATGTTGAAAGAGCATCCAAAAGATTAATCTAATCATATGAATTTTTACGTTTTCTTATGTTTGAGACTTTCCTTCAATATTCCAAAACGGCCTGCAAAGAGATTTTTCTTCCTGGCATAACTATCAATGCGATATAGATGATAGAATTTCGATGACTTTTAGCCAGCAATGACTTTAGAAATTTGGAAATTCTAGCATAATCGTTTCAGTTGCATTTACCGTGAAATATGTGAAAAATCCATAACARTGAATGTGCTAAAAATGTAGTTCAAGTGACCGGTGAAGATACAACGCCCTTTCTATTGATTTGATGTGCTTGAAGTGAACTTGAACAGCTTTGAGTGTAAATCAATGTCCGTGTTAAAACCTGCTCGGCCGTTACACTGCACTGGACACCTCCTCGACGCTCGAGATTCGCCATGAGTCAAGCATGAAGATCATCGCAAATCTAACTAGAACATTTTAGCAAAWATACAAGAGAGAAACTTGATTTTGTTGTAAAAATGATCTACTGTTCAKTCGTTGATAGCCGAGAACAAATGACGCTAGTTCCATGCCATTTAGTAAAATGATCTAAGCGTATATGATGTCATTGTTTACTAATTCGTTCCATGTCCAACCAACGAGCTTAAAGCCATAAGTGATAGCTGGTTTRGAGACCATCAGTTCTTAGGGGATCTCAAAACCAAATTCGCAAGGAATTTTTTGGTATCCTCTCGTACCAAATAACCGGACTGTGTCAAGACTGGCCGCCTGGCGTCCATCTTGCTGTTGAGACTAGTGTTTTTCAAGGATTTTGGGGCGTTMCTTGATAAATCAAAGGTCGAGTGGCTGGAGTTTCAAGAGATCGATTTCTACGCATGCGCCGATTTGAGTCCGCTGGAGTCGAGTTTTTTGTTATGGTGGTAACACTCGAGTGACCCGTTAAAGGGAGCAAGTCATAACGATAGTGATATCATGACAAAAATCACGTCATATTGAACCAAAGACGATCCTCCCGTCCGCTTGCATAGCTCTTCCATCAACAGGAAGTTAGGCCAAGTGGAGAGCAAGGAGGGCGAGGAGGAAGGACAATAAACTGTTTTTAGTGATGCCCAAATCTTTTCTTGTCAAGAAAACATCGCTTGCAAAACGACGACTGTCACAAGAAGCTGATCACGGTGAGTACCAGCTGATTGATAATTGGACACCGGCATGTTRATAYTGCAGTTGTCTTGCGGAGAGTTCGATCCCGGGAATTATAGATTGGAGAATATTGCACGATGTATTTTAGTTTTTTAGGAGTACTGATGAAGTTCTAGTTAATTTTTGGATGCACGATTATCGTTTTGATTTAGAGACCAGTCGACCGGCAGATTGTCATCCATGAAGCAAATGTTGTTGCTAAAAAGTAAACTTCAAACTTTCTTGAAAACATTAAAGCTGATCATTTCTGTGTATCTTATTGTTAAATTCAACGTTTTTATTTTAAATGAAAAAGAAGGAAATTTCAAATGTGTCATCTTCTCATGTGATCCTTTGCAAATCCCACCTTTTTATCAATAATTCAAGTTCAAAATTTACTGCAAAATTCGTCAAGGTTTTGCTCTCCCAGACTCTAATTCAYCAAAATAATGAATTTTCATTGTCACAGATAACGATGCTCTGGATTCATCTRAGGATAGAGATGGGATAAAAGCAGCGTTTATTCCGAGGGTAATAGTTTCCGGTAAGTGTTTAATGAAACTGTGTCAATTTGGCAGGTACCAGTACACAGCAAAATAACTAGGTCCAGCAATCACTGAACTTAGAAACATCCTTTAAAAAGACAATTATAAGTTTAAAAATCCTAGAAAATGATATTTCCGAAATCGAAAAATGTGTGTTTGTAGAATTTTTTAATTTGTTGTTCTTCAGGGGGTTTATGAAGGTCTTTATGAATGAATGRAATATTCCAATGAATTAGCTTATGATCCTTGTTAGCTTGCCAATGTTCACTCGACTGATATATTTCAAACTACTAAGAATAAGTCAAATAGAGCAAACTTAAGGAGTTTTGAATTACAATTTGAAACTATCTTTTTTTTTTGTTATGAAATGAAAACCCGCTCTATTTCGCGCATGAGTTCTTCGAAGGAAAAACATTTCTGCTCGAAGCGCATTTCAATCATCCTATTTTATTCAAATTTTATTTTTGAAGACCATCTCTTGATATTAGAAAATCAGAAAATCACTTTTTTTCTCCTTTTTTGATTTTGAATTCCTGTTTTCTAAATTTACTCAATCACGTAATATACTGCCAATTTTGAACTTGACTTAACGACCGTTGTCAACAGATCACGTCATTTCAAGAGTAGAAGGTTTGGTTCAATGAGCTGAGTAGCTTATTGTTGAGTAATTTCAGCTTTAAGTATCAAATATCGAATTGCAAAATGCCAAAACTTTCTGAGCTTGAATCATTCATCTTTGCTTCTTGACATAACAAGCGAAATGTTTTGCAAGTTGGTCGTTGGCGAAGGAGTTTTGTGTAAACACTGAATACACACCTGTATATCAATATGAAATAAAACATTGAGTAAGAAGAATTATCAATTAAAACAATATTTTGCATGTTTGTCTTCAGTTGAATTCAAAATTATATTCTACACATTTTTTATCTTTCGTCGCACAAAATCAATATTTGGATTATTGTATTTGGATGCAAAACCGTGTCTTACTGCCTACTTGATCCCAAGTGAAAATATGACCCTGGACATAGTTGAACAAGACCTCGTTAACCTCTTGTCATTGGTGCATGAGACTGAACGTTTCATTCTAAATAACTTCATGTTGACATTTTTTGATATTTCGCCGATACTAAAAATATTATGAACATCAGTAAAGTGAAATTGAGATTTGATCTACAAAGCACCCTTTCAAAAACCACCTTCGTAGCCTTTTTCCTCAAATATAATTTCGGGGCTTCCCGATACACCCTTTCATTGCTTGAGAGAGCTGAATAAAGCGTTCTTGTAGTTTTAGTTCTCTTTGTGTTTTATTACTGAGTTTTCTGTTAGGTTCATGTTCATGCAGTTCATAAGCTCTACCCAATTTGCCAACGATTGACGGTCCAGAAGAATTCATTTTAGTTTAAAACTAAAAGAGGACACTCGGGATAATGTATATATATGAGTTACACTAAAGTYTCCTACACTACTTCATGAGTACCTTTTTTCAAACAGTAGTGCACTTTATTGAATGACTTAACCATAGTAACTATGACTAACTATGACTTAACTAATTCAAAGTTTGTGATTTTTGTTTTACACTCTGTCGCAATCATCATTTTTTTGGAAAGGGTTTTCAATTAAATATTGTAGACATTTTCCGGTGTTTCCTGTCATTTTTTCATTTCTATTATTATTCTATTTTTTGGCAAGAGGAAAAGCACCAAGTCACCGTTGAATTAGTCGAGGGATTAATTGAAATGATAAAGCCAATAAAGGACAATAAGAGTAATCTAACTCTTTTGGTTTAAATCCATTCCTTAGGCAATGGTAGCTATGGCAAGACCAGTCCCTATTCCGTAATCCACAGCAATCCTGCTACCTACTCAAACAGTTTTACTGGATTTCACCACAACCTCGACACGCATGGGCTTCATACACTTGCAGACCTTTGCCTACGTTCAGATTACAACCCGCCATTACAGATAAGCACACACAATAGCCCAATAGCACATAGCTATGCCACAAGTGAACAAGTCAAAACCGAGTCGTTTAGTACAAGTAGAGATAATGATCTTTCTCCCGTGGCGTCGGACGGAGACACCGAGGATAAAGAAGCCCGGGCAACTAAAATGATCGATGTTGTAGGGGAAGACGACGAACGAAATCTCGCAGTTGGTGTGCAAGGTGTAAATTCDCAAAGACTGGAAAGACTTGATGATGAATTGGAAAAAATGCTGCAGTAAGTAGCTATCGATAGACGATAGCTATCGATAAGAATATTATCTCTATTCACGCGCACTTTCTTGAGTTTATCTCTTTTTTATCTCTTATATTTCTTGCTCTTAAACTCGTGGGAAAAGGTTAACACTTGGTTGCTCAAGTATTTAGTCATAACAAGCTTATCACATCTTCCAATATGGGAATATATGCGATCATGTTTGTGTTTGAATTCAAATCTCCTTATGGGAAAAATGTGAAAGTCAGACGTTTGTGTTGCTCAAAACGAAGATGAAAAAGCCATCAAATTTTAAATTATTGGGAACGTGGTCTGTTTACTGAGGTTGTATCTAAAAAATTTAATCTTACAAGAAGACAGCACAAACAAAAAAACTGGACGGGACCTTATTTCATGATGAAACTATTTCCACCACTGCACCGAAAAAACAATTGATAATTGATCAAACTTTAATAACGATCATAAGTTTTAATAAATGTGAATATGAAAGAAGTATATGAAGACAGAATTCATCATGCTTAATCATCTCATATGAAACTCTCAAGAAACTGACATAAACTGTTTTTATTTCAGAGGCAATGATGAAATTATTAGCAGAGAAATCCGAGAATTTCTCGATAACAACAGAACATGTCAAAAAGAAGCAGCTCGAGTATCGACATTGAGTCAATCTGAAATCGCACGATTTCTTAACGAGGGCCTTGATATAAAGGAAGAGAAGAAAACGAAGTTTTATCGCTGGTATCTGGAAAAGAAGCTTGGGGCGATGGATCCTGGTAAAAACCTCTAGATTTATAATCCATTTCATATTCCTTAGTTTTCTGTAAAGAATTCACGGAAGATTTTAGAGAAGACATCTTAACTTTCGCAAATTTGAATTTAACAAGCACAAAATTTAATTGGAAGCTAAGAAGCAATTTTCTYTTGATTGCTATAAGAAGTTTTGTTTTTGTGGTTGACAAACAGAGGATTCTATTTGGTGCAAGTTCTGCCACCCAGATATATGCATTTTCCAAATAATTGCAATGATAATTCTATAAATTTATTTTTCTTTGCTTTCTGATTGCTTTGAGAAGCAGTTAAAAAAAATACTTTGCTACTGCCACTTGTGATGTTTTTGATGGATTCACCGTACCAGGAGCAAATCGTTTTCATTAATTGAGGTTGACAATTTTTTTACATCGGGTTTGAATATAAGGGACAGTGCAAAAGAAAGTGTTTCTCGTCCTCCACATGCAGAAAAGTATGCTTTATTTTCCCTCGCCACCACTTATAATATGTTTTGGTATTAAAATATTACCCTGGAACTAACAATATAAAAGGTTATTATGTCAAAGTGTTCAACATCTTCTCAGCTACAACAACTAATTTTTATTATTTGACTCACTAGATGATGAAAGTTTCACATGTTACAAGTGCGGTAAGATATTCGCSTATCAAAACTATCTCGARCGACACGTTAAGTACGTTTGCCCGGATAAAACTGGGAGRACATGGAAGTGCTCCTACTGCAGTAAAGCATTCCAATATCCGTGTTATTTAAGAAGACATATGAGATCTCATACAGGTAGGAAAGAGCTACTTTTGAAGCTTACATTCTGACATCTATATCCACATATTTGTATTTCTGTCTGCCTGCCTACTAAATTGATTTCTTTAATAATTCCGACCTATAAGGAATCTCTTGGCCTGTTGTGACGTCTGAGAAGTGCAAAGGCACCATTATTGACAAACACTGGGCACATCACAAAGATTTATTTGTTCTRGTTGTTGTTGCTGTTGCTCTTAACCAAAAACAAATATATWTCGGATGATGATTCTGAAAGGCGTTTGATGCCAATTCATTCAAATCATTCTAAGTCCTCCATTATCGCTACCTCACAGGTGAAAGTCCTTACAAATGTACACAATGTTCACGGGCGTTTGTTCGGTCCACCGACCTCCAAAGACATCTGCGCAACCATACGGGCGAGAAGCCATACAAATGCAAGGAATGCTCACGCGCCTTTGCACGCTCCACTGACCTCAAACGGCACATGCGCACTCATACAGGTGAAAAGCCATACAAGTGTTGGCAGTGTTCGAAGGCGTTCTCACAGTCAGGAAGTCTTCAAACTCACTTGCATACCCACTACAAGGAATCCCTTCAAATGAAAGGTGTTCTTCCAGAGTCGGGAAAAACACACAAGACATGAGATGCCACTTATGCGATCCTGTCAACAGCCAATCAGTGGCCCAGCACTTACTATACTGGTACCCGTATGTACGGTCATGGGCTATGATATTATTCCATTGTCAAGGTAACACTGAGGAATCATGGGAATTGAGGTAAAAGGTGATAGCAATAAGAAGTTATCGGATAAGGTTTAATAAATCATCAAAAAGGGCATGGAACATAAACAAAGCAATGCTTTGAATTTACTTTCATTATATACTTTAAATTATCTAAAATATATTTTTGTGCTAAATGCTTTTGATACAGCAGATTGACAGTTAAGCACAACGTTAATTATTTGTCAAACTTTTTGACACAAACTTTATATACCTCTCAACCTTTTTCTTCGCTTCGCTGAATTCTTTTGGTTGAAAACCCCATCACTCTTCCAATCACATCATCCAGCATTTAGGAAATCATAATCATTATAATGCAGTTGACAATTTTGAAAAATGACACACAATTTTGAAGCAGAGTTCGCAATGGCAATTGCTATTCACATCGATCGGCCATTTTTTGAAGCTTTCTATTTCGTACTGTATTTTAGGTTTTGAATACCGTACTAATGATACAATTATTGTGGAAAAAAACAGTTGTCGCGAATAAGCTGAAATTGCACAAAGAGTTTTCTTTTCTCTCATGTCTTTAACCACCCCTTCCTCTTGTTCAGTGTTGCCTCCTTTTTTAACCTGCATCTGTTACATCGACGACTACCATGATCTTTGCATCGTGGAATAGGGGAAGCAATGGCTTCAATATGTAAAGATATACGATCTTATAGAGAACATAATGAACATTTAGCAAAGGCGATCCAACACAATAACATTATTTTCGACATTKCTGCAAATATTTGTTTCACAGTGACTCGTAACAGAAAATTCACGCAGTTTTCTTTTCTTTTCTTTTCTTTTTTCCCATCCCTTCTTTCTCTGTCCCTGTTGTTATTCCGCATTAAGGCAACCCGTAAAAAATATTCACCAATCATTAAGAAATGAGCGAAGCCAAGGAATGGTTAATAACAATATTTTACTATGTAAATAAAAGAACTAGTTTAGCAATATATAAGATATTATATATCACTTTGGTATTTTTGTCTTAAAAATGAATTAGCTTTTTAAGCACTTTAGACTGATTATATTAATCAGATATTATTAATGGATTATTAGTCGAGATAGTGGWAGAAAGCTGTGATAATTATTCGTAGAATAGATACATCAAAAACTAAATCAGTTAATTATAATTTTACTCTACACCTTTTTCGCCATGCAGCCCGTAAAGACCTAAAAGAATTTCGGTAATGTTTTGATGATATTTGTGATATTTGCTTTGGAGCAGCTATTTGACAATGAAGCAACAACATGATAGGCGGTTGTACTAGAACTAGATTGGCTGCAAAATTACGTCATAAACACACTTACTAGAATGCTTTGCCCAAAGACCTTGTGCTCTTTGTGCAAAATTACGCCATAAACACACTTACCAGAATGCTTTGCCCAAAGACTTTTTGCTCTATGATGCTGAAAAGTGTTGGTAGCTGCAGATCACATAGTGCAAATTTCCTTTTCGCCATTGATGAGATTTGTTTCGGTTCGAAAAACATTACYGAGATTCTTTGGAGTAATAAGAGCAAGACTACTATCTAGTCTTCCATGACGATTATTGAACTAGGTGTAGCTTAATCAACTACAGAAAATTAAGAATCCATTTTATGTATTATATCTGCTTCGGGCAATACAAAATAGCAACTGACCGGTTTTTATCTTTTTCTCCTTTTRCTAAATTGCATGTAAACGCTACCRCATGTAAATTTTCAACACAAGCGTCTTTATCGGTAAAGCTATATAGACCTTTCCGTTTTGTGAAGAGCCAAGCCTTATCTTTGATCTAACTCTGTATCGACTCGTAGGCAGAGAATATTTCTGTGGAGTTAATTGAAGTATACTAGATTTCCCTTCCACTCAGGCTGAATCAATTGTTTSGTAATGGCTTGCAACGAATGGTATATATGGACTTGTACATAAAGCTCAATCAGTTTCCTTTTTTCACTATGAAAGCTCAAAACACCTTTAAGGCGCCTTTTCCATTTAAACATGCTTTTCTACTTTTTGCTTTTTTTGCTTTTCAAACGCCTAAAAATGGTTWAGCACGTGTTTTTATCACGTGAATTTACCATGTGCATGGTTTTATCACATGACTTTCTCAAACGCTGATATCATGCGATTTTGTCACGTGATCAATACAGTATCACATGACCTTATTTAAACAATACAGCAGTTGATTCTGTGATTGCTGCCCGCGAAATGGATGTTCCTAAAAGCAAATAGTTGCACRAGGACGCAGTTCGATGGCGACTACGAATTTTTGATKAACATCCAGTTTTCAAMGGCAACTATCACAGCGAAATGCWCRAGATTTTAACTGCTCTATTGTTTTTATTATTCAACAACAAAAGKCGGGCTCTATGCACTAATAGTAGCCTTCCGTSGCGGCAACTATTGCGTAACGTKGTCGACTCTCCACCAATGATAGCGGAGGAAAMTTTGTTGTTGAATTACAAGACGTGATAGATGCTCCTTGTTAATCATGTGATTSTTATAAGGTCAGCGTGTAGCGGGTGGATTTATGATCAATTGGATTAGTTAATTACATTTTATTTTTGGTCATTTTCATATTTGATATGTACTATTCATGTAAATACCTTATATCGCACGTACAAATATATTTATATACGTTCTTAGTTTCAATTTATTTTTTTGCTTTTAAACTTCAATTTATATAATATCATTGCAATTTCGTATACTGTAGTTAAAGCCATTAAAGAATTGACCTTTTCCTACACATTTAAAGGCCTATATTTTGCTTGGTATTTCTATGGTATTTTTGTTATCATCATTCATAGGTGAAAACAAGTTGCAAAAAACATTATGAACACTTGAGCACTTTACCCAATTAGCCGCTCCCCTTACCCCTTACACAAAAAAAAGAGAAAAAATGATTTGTTGTACAAATCTAATGCATTCAGGCAAGAGTAAAGTGAGATTATATCGATCCAACTTCAACGACCCGCAAACTCGTCGCGCAACGTAGACTTTTCGTGCCACGGACTAATCATAATTTAGTTATACTCATCCTGTTTTTTTGGGACAGGTTTTCACCTTAAGAATATATCACTTTTGAACAGTTAGCAGGTGTTGTCTAAAACAAATGGCACTCTATCAACTGATCAGATGTGATATGAGCTTGTGAACTCACTTGACAAATGTGGGGCCAGTTTGTACGATGGGTGAATAGCCCTATCCAAAGTATGAATCCCWGCAAAATCTATATAGTGGATAAACTTTGTACTCGGTAGGTTCAACTGGCCCTTGATTTGCACATTATTTACATAGGAAATAAGAATACATTTAGAGCTGATGGAGTCCAGTTGTGTCGCCTAAAACTACCCTTCACGAGGTGGAGTGACATAACGACATATAGATTAAGRGAATCATAAACCCGTGAAATAGATACTTAACAAATACATATATTTGTCGCAAGTTGTATGTTTTCTTTTGTGTTTTTAGGATAATATCCTATTTGGTATTTATTTCACGGTCTTAATGAGCCCAATCCAAGATAGATTACATTGCATTACTTACGTCGTTATGTCAATGTCAATACGTATGTGGCTAGTGTACCTTTTACTAGAATAGAGGTTTAGCRTCAACACGTCACCCATGTAGCAACCATTGCTAGGACGCCTTGTTGAAAGGCATGTACATCTAATATGAAAAAAGACTGAAACGAATGAATTTATGATTATCGTTCCTACTCAGAAAGACAGACATTCATCTTTSGGCTTATCGGATTTACATGCCATCCAACATGGTGGCCTAGATAGCAACAGTTGCTACTTGAGTCACATGGTGTAAAACCCCTATACCAAGAATTCCAAATCAGAAACAGTTTTGGTGAACTTATAAGAAATGCATTATACGCTAACAAAGTGTATAAAATCCTTATACTACATCTGTCACGATTCCTCTTTGGCGATACTATAAAAATAACCTCTGTAGAAACGGGATTTAAAACGGTGAATTCTGATTGGTCTTCTAGGGCATTAACTGGACGTACAAAAACTCACCGGACCACCAAAAACAGCACTTAAAAGTATTGKTTTACGTATCTTTACGTATCATAGCAAAACTACTGGCCATAAATTATGATAAATCTTTCCCAGAGCTGGTCTCTTTGCACTTAATTAAACTGTTATAACTGAAATATTGTACTTTATTGTGTCTTTTAATCGTAATTACTAAACCGATGGATATCAAAACAACCTCCTGATAAAATACTTGAAATTGGACCTTTCCCAAGCCCTATGTGAACAACTCCTGTTATACGAAAGGCAGCATAAAAACCTCTTAGTTAATGGAATGGAAGTCCAGAAATATTAAACCGGCATGTCTATTAAGAATAAGATGGCATCAGCCCTATCTCGATAAGGCTCAAGTATGTTTCCCATGGTCTTCTGATAGACGGTGATAGGTATGCCGATCAGCTGAATTCCAAATGAGGTTCCTTGACCGCGCTATGACTTGTCAGCGGCATGATCCTGCTCTAATAACTTCATGCTAATTTTCATGAAATAACATAATAACCATTGAAGAAATGAGACAGTATATGTGAATCAACGTTTTCTACCTTATTTTGGACGAGAGGCATCAAGAGAAACGCTTTTTCGAGCAAAAAAAATCCACAAATAGCCGAAAACCATCCGTGTCGATGTTATCCTGAGACACTTGCGCGCTTGAAACTGGAAATTAGACACATTTTTTGGAGACTATGGGGAGAGCACTCGGGACACGGAACACACCGCTCCTCTATCTCACATAGAGTATAGTGTGTTTTTTTATGTATGTCTTTGAAAGAAAATTCATCGGAGTATTATTTACAACTGGAACAGTTATAAGCACTTTTCGTTGTTGTTGCTTTTGTTAAAGCTATTTGATTTGAGCAAAATTAAGAAGAAGAAGTCGAGATCAAGCTTATAGAAAAATAGAAAAACAATTAAACAAAACAAAACAAAAAAGAATGCCCGCAAGTATGACGACTTTTTGTATGACGAATGAAGGGTTTTCCCTTGGACAGGCAAGATTTTGTTTTTGTTGCCATATACCCTGTGGCGTCGGTCCATGAAAAATGGACTCAATGGTTTTTATCTTAGCTATGATATGATCCGTTTCGCGCGCCTTCGCGCGGGAGCTCCGGTGTATATCCAGATTTTTTTATAATATTGATATTTATGACAAGTATTTACTAAAAGATCATACATTTACCGAAAATTATCAAAACAATCATCTAAGAAGTTTCCTTTTCCAGAAATGAACACGGAGCKTTTCAAATTGTCTTTTGAAATAGCCTTGTCCTTATCGCTTAGCACTGGCTTGTGTTAGTTTTGTAGTAAAAGACTAG